ATAGGTCACACATAGCTCTGGGAAAATAACGTATATCGATTGCTGGCTAAAACCTTCCTTCCTAACACTTTCATTTTTTTTTAATTTTTAGGATGAAGTTTATTTTTCCTATCATCGAAGTAAATAATTAGTTTTAAACAAACGTAATAAAAACTGACCCGCAAGGTCTCAAAATGTTTGGCGCGCATCCCGCCCGCGTCTTGGCAGCGACTTTTTTATGGAAAAAGCGACTACATGGGGGGGGGGAATCACGTGTCCATTTTTAATAATTTTTCATCTTGTATTTTAAATAGGAGATCACAAATGTAATAATACAGATACAGGATCATTCTAAATTATATTTTAACAATTTTTTATTGTGGATATATTATAAAACAAATATAAGTGTCGAAATAAAGGCATTTTGCAAAAAAAAACAATGAAAATTGTTATATAGAACATTATAATCCTCAACCGACGAAATCTCAAAATACTATTCTTTTAAAATGCCTCTTACGCCTTGAATTTAAATATTCAGCAAAAAAAAAAAACCATTTTGATAATTTAAATGATGTTTTATCTTCTTCTTTTTTCTTCCCCTCTTTTAGCTTTCACCTTTTTCTGGTGGTAAGCTCCTTCAATACCTTTCTCCACCATATGTTATTCACGCTATCTCTTTTAATCTAATTTATATTTCCTTCATATTGGCTCTAACTTTATGGGGCCCCTTTGAAGTTTCGGCCCTTCCTCTTTTACGTTTTGCCCATCACTTCCAAACTCTTAACCTTATTTCCTATATAGAAAAAAATATGATAAATGTAAATGAAAATAGTAAAACATTTTCCCCAATCCCTCCTTCATAAATTGTGATCTCGAAATCAGGGTGAGAATTGGAAAGTAATTTATATATAACATTTAAAAAAAAAATTTTTTTTTTAGGGGGGTGGGGTACTTTTATCGTCACCAAATTTAAAATATAAACAAATAAATAAATAAAGATTTTACTAAGGTAGGTTAATTGAAGACATATATTATTTACTCGATTAATGTTTCATCTTCACGCCCAAAATTCAAAAAATTATCATTATTTATATTGAAATTATATTTACATAAGGAACTCTTAAAAAAAAATGTTTTTTTATTTTTGTTTTTTTGTTAAAAAAAACACAAAAAAAACCAAGGTTATATTTGATTTTTTAAAACAAAAATATGAAATATGAGTTAAAAGTAAACAAGTCTTTTTCGTTTATTTAAAACATATATTTCCCCAATTTGGAGTTTAATTATAGTTCGAAATTTAAATAAATGTTGCAAAAATATATAATAATAGTTTGTTTGTTTGTATAATATAATAAAAGCGAAATATTTATATATGGCACTATATATAATAATATTAAAAACCTATGGGTAGCGGATGTAAAATCGCTCCGTTTGAGAAGATTTTATAAAACGGCCAACTCATATTTTACCCAGAAAAGAATCGGTTTAATCATCGAGATTTCGCTAATAGATGTCCAAACCTATGCCATCTATGAACAGAATCTTTAGGCCTGCGTATAGCCCTTTTTTTTTAAAATCGACTCATATGGAAGCGATTTAGCTTTCACTATCCTTGGGAACCGTCCTATTTAGTATTTACACCGAACTAAGATTTGTAGGACTCCTGTGTGCATTTCCTCGAACCCGAGTCGTACTTAGATAATCACATTCAAATATTTTAGCGCGTATTCCAAGTTTGTACTCTAGAAAAATTGGGAAATTATCTAACGAAAGATTACTTTTTATAATTAGACTCCGCCCTCTAGCTACTATCATACTGATGTTCTCTTATAGGACATGCCTCAATTATACTATTATACCCATTTGCGTATTTAAAAAACCCATTGGTTATTAAAACGGGATCCGCGAAGTTTACAAAAAAAACGTCGCGATTTTCATGTTTTAATGATTAAGCAAGCCTCTTGCAAATAGATTTTAATTTAAAAAATTGTGTTTTAAACAGCATTCTCATAAGTGGGCACAAATTTAACGTTTTAAAACGCAAATAATTGCATTCGTTTAAATTGGACAGCATTTTATGTTTCAAATTTAGACCTTTCATATTAAAAAAAAATTAACTTTTCAGTATAAACATAGCTGCGTTTACGTATTTTTTTATTTGCGTTTTGAAACGCTCAATTTTTCGGTATGTAAAAATAAGTTCGCGATACTCTTCCCTATATTTTTTACATACCGGGGTACTTCATAGCTTATCCGTTTTAGAATCATATCGTGACTCAAAAATATTCGAAAAATGAAAAATAAAATTGTATTTAAGAAACAAACTTAAAAATCTTTATATTTATAATATTTTTTTTAAAAAATGGAGAGATATGATGAGCTTGGTCAAAGTGGGACATTCAATTTATTTTTTTTTAAATAGGGGAATCTATTCAATGTGGAAGTAATGGCAACATTGAGCATGATGCCAATTACTTCTAATTGTGTCAATAATGCATGTTCTTAAATCCAGTTACCAACAGAGTAGAAGCAATTTAAATAGTTAAATGTTTCCAGAAGTTAAGAGATACACACTTGGCGCGATATCATGGGTTATATTTGAATTATGATAAGGTTACTTTTTTGTGGTTGGCAAAATTGGTTGAAGAATAAGTTAAGCCTTAAATATTAATGCAAACGAAAAAATTAAGATTTTTATATTCTCTTATTTTCCCTTTTACATATACTAAACAGATCAAAGAAATAAAACAAACTAATTAATGGTTTGATATAAGCAGAGTTGTTAAACGCTATTTTTAAAAGTAGCGCACTACCGCTATAGCTATTTGTCAAAAAAAGTAGCGCGCTACCGCTTTCGCTATTTGTCAAAAAAAGTAGCGCGCTATTAGCTACTGTTAAGCTACTTTATAAGCTACTTTTTATAAAAAAATTTTTAGAAACAAATGAAACAAATTTTTTTTATTTATTTTTTGCTTATAATGTAAATGTATAATAAATAATATATAAAAATCAACATTTATAAATATAAAAATATAGTTAGTTTAGATTGTAAAAAAATAAGCAATATAAATAAATATTTATTTTAATTTGTTGCATTTTAATAATAATATCATTTCAATATTATCATCCCCAAGTCTAGAGCGACGATCAGAAAGTATAAGCTTTGCTTTACTAAATAATCTCTCGACACTAGCACTTGAGGGCAAGGAAGCTCTAAAAATATTTAATCAGATCAATTTTTAAATATAAATAAGTTTTTACCTTCTGTTATGTGTCCTATCTGCCGGTGTACATACATAAGATATATCTTATAACTCTACTATTAGAGCATCTTTCATCACTTTGAAGTTGTCGGCTATTTTATTCATAAGTGTCTGGCGACATAAAACTGTTGTGCCAGGGGATAAAGTTTTAATCATCATAGTAAATGATGGATTATCAACCAAGGACAATGGCTGAACTGTGTCAATAATAAAATCAACAATTACTTTATCAGCCAATTTTTGTGAAATATTGGCATGTTTATTATCAGTTAATTTGGTTTGGATAGTATTTGTCTTTTTGAATGAAGATTCTCTTATACCAAATTTTTTTATATGTTTCTCTATTTCCTTATAGCAATTGGCGTGAACAGTCTAATAAAATAAATAATATTATAATGTAAAAATAACAATTTACCTTTAGGTGTTTCTTCAGGTTATAGCTACTCGATTGATTTGATGATATATTTTTTTTACATTTTAAGCACAGGAATTTGAATCCAGATTTTGTTTTAATATTTATTTTAAAAAATTTTTCAAATCTAGGGAATGGGAAATCGTTATTAGAGCTATTAAGTACATTTTCTTCCATTGAATCTTCCATGTCTGAATCACTTTCAAGGATTTGGATATCCATGGGCGATGCCATTTTAGATTATTAACACAGATTGAAAATATAAATTAAAAATATATTTAAATTTCAAAATTAAATAATAAATTATAAAAATTATAATTAATTATGATATTATATTTTAATTTTCATGTTTATACTTACATTCATTATATTTTAAATAAAAGTAGCGCGCTAAAAAATTAAATAATTTAAAAAAAAGTAGCGGCTATTAGCTATAGCTACCAAAAAAGATAGCGCGCTACTTTAACAACTCTGGTTATAAGTTTCAGAATTAGTGCTTCCAAAAGTTTGACTCACTTCATGCTCAAAGCGTGATGTCATAGTTTTCAATTTGTTTATACTTCGGTTTTCTTATTTGTGACTCGTACCACTGTTAAGGAATTTAAAAGTACTAATCATGCACTAAATATTAGCGCAAACAGATACATAAATAATTCTTCTATATTTACCATTCTAGCATGATGCCAATTTTTATTATTTTTGCCAATCACTTTTTTTCTCTCTAGACTTTCTATAAACGATTAAAATAATATGTAAGCACTAAAATTTTCTGATTGATATTTTATTATAATTTTTATACGAAATTAAAAGTTTTATTTTAACTTGTGAGTTTTTTGTTGGTTTAATTTTGAATGTTTAAATTATAATCATTTTAAGAAATTATAATAAATTAAAGCTAAACAAAATTATCGTGTATGTAGGTACACAATAACTTATACCAAAAATATTTAAATTAATAAGTGTGGGAAGAAAAGCGATTCTCATAGGGTCGGCTGTCCGACTTCTTGGGAGCATCATGGCCCTAGGAAAGTCGTTTTCTGTGTTTTTCTACAATTTAGCCTATGATTAAGACAACACCAAAAGCCAGATCGATATCCTGATATTTTCTAACGTAGTCGTTCTACAGTAAATTTCTGCTATTTTTTAACTCTCCAGGAAAAGCGATACATTTTAATACCATATCCATTAATAAAAATGAAATGTGATCAAAATTTCAGAACACCCCTTATCTAACTAAAAGGTTGTAAGTGAGTCCAAGAATCCATCATAAATTATCAACGCGAAATTAATATCAAGAAAAATTAGGGATTATTATTCTTTTTTGTTAAATTTGGTAAATATAAATTACAAATAATTTACAATATATCGAATACAACGCTTACAAGTTTTGCTTTAACATATTCAGTATAGACTTCCAATGCAATGATAAATATGCTAAAAAATAATAATAATAACAAAGATATTCTTCCTTTTTTTAGCATTTTTTTTTAAAAATAATAGTAAATAAATATCTTCAGATGAGTGCTGGTAGTTGCTTGAGTTGATTGATAAGCCGATGGTTGACAAAAAATGTGAACTGTAGGTAGGATATCTTGATATCGCGTTTTTATTAAAATATAATATAAATTTGACAAAAAAAAAATGACAACGGAGAAAGTATGGTATTTTAATATCAGAAACTAGAGTTTAAGGAAGGGTTGTTAAGTTTTAAGCCGATTTTTAAAAACGGCTAACTCACTATTTTAGCCAGAAAAATATTGCCCAAGTCTCGAGATTTCGCTATGTCTAGACCTTTGTGCCATCTATGAGAAAAATCTTCAGACTCGCGTAACATTATTCTAGATAAAATATAGAGTTAGCCGTTTTTAAAAACCGACTCAAATCGAGCCGTTTAACAACATAAGGGCATTCATAATTTTTCAAAAGAAAATCGGAGTTTGGGTTTAAATAACAAAATCTGAAAGACCATATAAGGAGTAATTTTTAATTTAATTTTAAGCTTTTATGTGAAATGCGTTTCAATTTATATTTTTATAGTTAGCATTTTTCAAGCCTGATTCGGGCTTTAAAAATCGGTATGAAAATTCGGGGTTGGCTTGAAATTAAAAAAATAATTAAGATTTCGGACTACTGGATTGAGCTCGGGTCTAAATAGGATCGAATTTGCAGGTGTTTTACAATAAGCACCAAAAAAAAAGTGACAAATTTATTGTCGCTACGTTTCTAAACCTCGATGAGTGATTTGTCGCGACACTTGGTAGCGTGACCGGGCAGTATGGGTTTACCTTCCAGGAAAAAAGGTCTGTGGCCTTCGTTAGTTATGTAAAATTCGTGAGATAACGCGCTGAGATTATTGTTGTTCGAGGAGGATGGCGCTATGAGGGAGGAAGCTTTAAGTTTGAAATGGCCTTGCAAACGGGAAACCTTACGTTTTTTTTTCATTATAAAAGAGTAAGGTTAACGCTACATCCTAGCAATATTACGACATCTTTCTCGTTAAAAAAAAACCAAAAATTTAAGATTGCATACAAAAATATTCTTCTAACCTTCCTAACTGAGAAATAATACATCAATTCTTAGGCATTCTTCTTTTATTTAAAAAAAATAATCATTCCTGTATTATCTATATCTACGAAGGCTTATATTTAACGATTAATTGCCTTTAAATAATTTATTTATTTTTATTACCTTACGACAAGGTCCTTCCAGCGTTAAATCAATATCTATGGGTTTAGCGGATGCGAAATTATTACAGAACCGTCCGAAACTGACCTATCAATAGACATAGATTTATTAAAAATTATTTTTGAATGACACTTGTGGCGTATATATATATGGTAACTATGCTCTGCCAATCATTTCACGTTATTTAAAATATGGATAAATTATAAGGGACATTTGAATCCAAGTGTAGTGACCGCTGAATATACATTAGCATGCATATTTGGTTTGGTTATCACAATTTATATTCAGTAGTTCATGTAAATTTATTATATTAAGCAATTTGTATATATCTATTTGATGCGAAGTTTTAAATTTTTTTTGGTCATATAAAGAACGATTATTTTGCTCGAAAGAACTTTTTAACTTTTTTATAATTATAATTATATAACAACTTTATAAATAAAATGCAATAAGATTCTTTTTATATTAAATTTCTATTAATTAATAAACTCTTCTCAGCATACCATAATAACATTTAACACCAATTATTGTTTAAGTTTAAAAAATATTTAATGCCTTTTTTTTGAAAAAAGAAAAAACATGACCGATCATGGCACATTTTCCCTACACATATTAAAGCCAGAGTGAATGTCGGTGGTTGTAGTAGACGCCATTGAAAGGCATATCGCTCAAATGAACGTTCATATTTCACCTAAATGCCACCCAACAGGCTTCAATGTATGGTACACTTTTAAATTCATTTTTTATGAATAAATCGTCCGTTCAGGTTAGTTATCAATATCCTCGTTGATTATAAATTATTTGATCGATTTGTTTGGCACTTTACTCATTTCATTTTAATATATATTTTTATTTATACTAATATATGAAACATTATCAAATTTTTAAAAAAAATATACGATAATTTTGAATAAATATAAGCCCGTTTTGCTATCTCCAATAGGAAAATATTTTAAATTAGGCAGTCCGTTACCGTAAAAATAGTTTTAAACAACCCATTCTAGACATCTAGCTAATGTTGCTAAACGCTTAGATTGAGCCCCATTATAATAACGGCCAAATAGAAGATTTTAGCCTAAATAATATTAACCACAAGATTTGCTAATAGATGACCGAATCTCTTTTGCCATCTATAAGAAAAATCTTCAGGTGTTTAACGAGAACGTGTCTAGCGACGATAAATAAAGGATATAAATATATATTTTTTTATTATAAAAACCTCTCTGGATTTGATCAAAAATTTGACGGCTCTTCCTTGCAATACGGCGAAAGTGCAATCATCGAATTCGGCGTTCGAGCCTTGTAACAAAGAAAAATAATTAATTATATTATACGAGATATTTCATAATGAAAACCTGGAAAAAATGGTCCAAGGCTGACCCTTAATATATGGGTGGGCCGATGATGAAATATTCATACAAAACCGATCCCAATTTACAACCGAGATGTTATATATAAAAAAATAAAATATTTTAAAGATAAACAACAGTAAAACTATCCGCAAAACAAGAAAAAAAAACACTTTCAAATGTTCGGTCTCTGATGGTCAGGGCGATATTTGAATTTAATTAATTTTCACGAAATAATTAAACTTGCGAGTCTTTAAATATTTTTTAACCCTTTTCGCGTTGCAAAAAAAATAAATAAAATATTTTCCTTTCAGCCAAAATTGTATCTCTTTAAAATAATTTGATTTCATTTAAAAAAAAAAATAAATTGAAATCTTTGGTTGGTTTTATTCATTTTTTTTTATATATTATCATCAATATATTATCATCAATATATTATATATAGATATTTAAATCATGAAATAACCCAAAAACAATGCTAATATGGGATGGAAATTTTTTTTGCAAAAATATCTGCCCAATCCGATATTCAATATGGGCACAGCCCCTGGACCTTGTGCATAGATTGAAAAAAAAGAAATATATGATTTTAGAGGAATTAAATAAAACAACTCTTAAAGAAAGAAAAACCGATTTCTTTGTCGATGATGGATTGCCACATGGGCAACTCGTTCTCCAATCGGTCTATTTTCTGAAACCTGTGTACTACGTCGAGATCGTACTCCTTGTCGAACATGGATTTTTTCGCGAAATAAGGGTAGTAATCTCGAATTTTTTGGATATTATCAGAGGGAGTAGTCGATTTCTTGCTTTCGGAGGAGTGCGGTTGTTCTGGGACGGCATCGTGGATGGATGAATGATGCGGGGTAGCACTTTTGCATGAAGGATCGTTTGATTCGTTCGATATCAAGAGTAAATTTTCCATATCCGAAAATTGTAAATTGGGCGAGCAAGTAGTGTGGCTACCAGTGAAAGGATTATTCCATTTGGACGATGAATTCACTTTAAAAATATTATTTTTTAAAAAAAATTGTTTCTTTAAATGTCAATTTCTTGACACGCGTAGATCAATATTATTCTTCATAAAAATTAAGAAAAACTCTACTCGGTAAAAAAAACTTTCAATTGAAAAATTCGCACCTTAGTAAACGTTTTATTATGTGAATTAATATTTAGAGGGAAATTAGGCGTAAAGGAGTGAATATATTAAATTCAAAAAAATAATTTATCAGCCATAAGATTGAAAAAAGGATTATCAGCCATTTTTTTATTTCTAAGCCCGGCTCGGATTTTTCCTAAAAAAAATTGGCTAAGCCAAGCCGGGTGTAATATTGTTCAAGAGGTTTTGCAGTGTGACAGACGATATATAACTCTCATATGCTTATAGTTCGCACAAATTGAGCTTTTCAAACGCTACGTCGTAAGCACAAATAATGTATTTCAAATCGTTTTGTAATATTATATAAAAATGTAATATAAAAAAACTTACTTATATCCTAAAAATGAATATTTAAAAATAAAAGCAATAAGCAGACGATAATATAATTTTCAAAGAAAAATCAATTTTTTTTAGAACTCATTTAAAATTTTGAATCGACGGATGTTAATAAAAAAAGGCAACCTCAATTTAAACAAGGAATAAGTTAGGTATTTTTAATATAAAAATTAGGGCAAAACGTACACGCTCAATTAGGGTGCACTTTAATTATATTTTTTTGTGAATCATTTTTAAAGACAAACCTATCTGATCGGGTAATAAAACGTGGTGCTTCATGGAAAGCCAATGATCCTGTAAATCTTTAGCCGTACGCGTGGGCAAAAATATGGAAGGATATTGGCGCAGAATTTGTTCAAATTGATCGAGGGTATGATGCCTATTCTATACAATTTAATTAGAAGAATGTATAAAAAAATATCTATTTAGCATATTTAGTGTTGTTAAATAGTCGAGTTCTCCTGACTTCGACTCCGAGTCGAAGTCGCAATAATCGACTCATTTTTACAACTCAAGTTTTGAACTTGAGTCGTGAACTCAAGACGCGACTTAAATTATGAACTTAAGTCATGAATTAAAGTCGACTCAAGTTGTGAACTCATGTCTATATACTTGAGTCGACTAGATAACGAATAATTTTATGAACTTGAGTCGACGACTAGAGGACGAATATTTCAAATTAATTATTAATTTTAATTAAGATATATGTTGTTTGTTACATTTTTTTTATTTTAGACTTCCAACTTGAGTTGTAAATAGGAATTATATACTTGAGACAATTAGAGGACAAATAGTTCTATAAATTTAATCGACTAGAAACTAGACTCCAGTATATTTCAAATTAATTAGTTATTTTTAATTACGATATTTTTGTTTATTATTATTAAATTTAAAATTAGATAGTCGAGTAATCCCGACTCCGTGTCGAAGTAGCAATAACTCGAGTCATTTTTACGACTCTAGTTCTGAACTTGAGTCGTGAACTCAATAAATCGGTTAATTTAAATTTTATGAAACTCTATTACTTATTATATAAGTGTTATTTATTGGTTGGTTTTGTAGGGGCTTGGATCTTAAAATCGACTTAACTAGCTATGAGCCCGAACCCCTAGCACAGATTAATATATCTTAAGTTGATTTTTCTTGACCTTATTAATATATATAAATATATGGTTATTAGAGGTATCAATCGCTAGCTAATTAGATCTATTGAATAGGTTGCAAACCATGTCTAGATGAGTGAAGCTATTTCTACGTAAGTCAGGAATTATTTTATCAGCACCAAATATTGATATGAGGTGGGTATCAAATAAGTATAGTTATACCTTTATATGGTGTATATAATTTTGACCTGGGAGCGGGGGTAAAAAATATGGTCTCAAACTTGTTCGTGAAAAAAAATTGACATGTCTATATCTTAACATTTAATTTAATTATTAAAAGATAAAAATATCTGCTAGATTACCAAAAATTAGGGTTTAATTTAGGTTCAGGATTTTTAAATTCTATATAAGGTAAATTTTGATAACATGAATTTAATCGAAAAAATCAATTCCTATATAATTATTGGAAATAAAAAAATGTTGCTCGTAACATCAAAAACCGTTTGAAAAAACGTTATGTATGTAAATTGTCGTATTTATTATTACCTCTGATTGAAATTGAAATATAAAAGATTATCTTCAATGATGAGGTAATAAGAGGCAAATTTTGAAGTCAATTGACTGATTTTGACCGGTCAATTGACCGACTTAAAAGTATTCAAAAATCATCTTCAAAACCTAGGTTTTTAATTAATTACAATGGACACTAGCTATGAATTTTATTTATTATCTTCACATTCCCTAACAATAGTAGGGACTATTAAAAAAAATAAAAAGCAGTTACCTGCATTATTTTTTAATAAAAAAAGAGAAATATATTCAAGTTTATTTGGATTCAAAGAAAATACTACTATTGTTTCATATATACCAAAAATGTATATGATAATAAAATTGATGTAACAACTGGTGAATTGTTAAAACCAGAAATTATAACTTTTTATAATTTAACCAAAGCAGGAGTTGATGTAGTGGATCAACTTTGCTCAATATATTCCTTATCTAGGAGATCAAATAGATGGCCACTTACCATTTTTTATACTATAATAAATATTTCAATAATAAATGCCCTAATAGTTTATAAAGCCAATAATTTGTTGACTATAAAAAGGTTTAAATTTAAAAAATTATTAGCTATGGATCTGATAACTCCATTTATGACCAGTAGATACGAGAACCCTCGTATATGCAGACTATTACGTAACAACATAGGGGACGTTCTCAACATAATTGATGAAAAACATATTCCAATAAATAAAAAGGGAAGATGTTATAAGTGTCCAAGGGTGAAAGATAAAAAAACAACATTAATTTGCTTAAATTGTTCAAAATTTATTTGCTTAAATTGTTCAAAATTTATTTGCAAAGATCATATGCATACAATTTGCCGCGAATGTTATCTCAAAATTTTACATGATATTTGATGATTAATATTTTTTTTGATATATATTTTTTTATAAAATTTATGTAATTATCATTATTCAACATTGATTTAATAAAATATTTAATAAAATTTGCATTTTTTGAATTTTATTTAGTGATAATACCATTATTAAAGGAAGTACTCAAAAAGAAAATTTTATCTCAGTAACTTTAGGAAAATTTGTCTAACTTTTTTTTGGAGGTAAATATTAATCTAAGATTTAGTATTTATTATCTCCTATATTTTTTAAATATATACTCATAATTTTAGATCTCAATTTTTAATATGTTCTGAGATATAGCAAATCTAAATTGTAAGTTATTTTAAAAAAAAATGAAATATTTAGAGTGTATTTTTGTTAAATTATTTTCCCTTAGTTCCCCGAATTTAATTTATACAATAAAAATATTATTGAAAGGTTTAAAGTGTATTTTTGTGGTTATTTTTTGATTTTCCTTTATTTCCTCTCATTTTTACTTTTTTCCCCTGAACCAATTTCCTCGAGTAATTTGCAACTATCTATACGTTACCCAAAATCCGTTTGAAAAAAACGATATGTATTGAAATTATTTCCTGATAATATTTTTTCTATAGAAAGGCGCTCAGAAGAACGAAATATAAAAATTATCAACTAAAGGATATTTTATTTTGTATATATTATAATAATCTATAATTTCAAATACAAAAATAATAATTTACATAATGATTTAATTTTGTACGAAAATATTATTTTTTTAAATTGCATTATAGGCCCGGTCCCATATATTTAAAAAAATTGAAATACGGCCCGGCCCTAAGCCCGGCAGGTCTATGATATTTTATTTATTACTAAAAACATAATTTTTATTAGGATCAAGAGGACAATGACTTGAGTCAAACTCAAAGCTCTTTTTCAGAAGCTAATACGTCTTCTTCTTCAATAATACAAAATAATAATTTCAATATTAAAGATATGTTTATAAACATACCTAACAAATCTCGACGGAAATGTGTCTACTGTGATAAAATCTACAGTCTTCATACGGCTACAAGTATTATATAAATCCTTTATTAAAAATTTTTAATATTTTTTAGCCAACCTTAAAAATCATATAAAGATATGCCATCCTGAATTAATTTTCCAAGCTAAAGAAATAATGCCCAAACATTTATCGGGTATCAGAAAACTACAACCCGAGGAAAACAAACAATTGAATAAGCTTATACTAAGATATATTATAAAAAACAATCTACCATTTAATCTATTTGACTCGGAAGAATTCAAGGATATCTTTAAATTTATATTTAAAAGTGAAAAGATCTGGTCAAGACAAACTGCCAGAATTTATTTGCATTCTATATATGAAAATGCTAAATTCAAACTTATAGCTAAACTAAAAAATATAGAGGGAAAAATATCCCTCTCTACTGATATTTGGACAGGGATTAATTCCCTGTCGTATTGTGCAATCACAATACATTATATTTCCAAAGATTGGAAATTAAAAAACCATCTACTAGATCTTATAGAATTGCCGCACCCTCACAGTGGGCAAGATATATGTTATTATTTAATAAAATCTATAGAAACATTTGAGATTGAAAAATTTTTTTTAGCATTAATGCATGATAATGCTAAAAATATGATTAGTGCATCAGATTTAATCATTAAACATTACATGGAAAAATATAGTATACCATTTTATAGCTATAGATGCCTGGCTCACGTTATTAATATTATAGTTAAAGAAGGACTAAATATTTTTGATGCAAAATTAGAAAAAATTCATAAATTGGTGAAATCACTTCACCTTTCTCCCAAGCTAATGCAAAGTTATATAAAAATCTCGGGTGGTACTCGATTACCACTCGACGTGGTCACTAGGTGGAATTCTAAGTATCTTAAAATTTCTACTAAAAATAAAGTAATTTAAGCAATATTTTAAATGTTATTTTTATAATATTTTTTATTTTATAGAATTTAGATGCTATTAAACGATTGGGGGAAGAATGTCTTCCCAAAGATGAATTTTACATAAATGTCAATGAGGCAAAATATTTAAAGAAAATTGAAACCTTCCTTAAACCATTTTTCCAGATTACATGTGAAGTTTCATCGGAAAGTACAACTATTGGGACGGCCGTGAGCCAGGCATCTATGGCTATAAAATGATATACTATATTTTTCCATGTAATGTTTAATGATTAAATCTGATGCACTAATCATATTTTTAGCATTATCATGCGTTAATGCTAAAAAAAATTTTTCAATCTCAAATGTTTCTATAGATTTTATTAAATAATAACATATATCTTGCCCACTGTGAGAGTGCGGCAATTCTATAAGATCTAGTAGATGGTTTTTTAATTTCCAATCTTTGGAATATATAATGTATTGTGATTGCACAATTCGACAGGGAATTAATCCCTGTCCAAATATCAGTAGAGAGGGATATTTTTCCCTCTATATTTTTTAGTTTAGCTATAAGTTTGAATTTAGCATTTTCATATATAGAATGCAAATAAATTCTGGCAGTTTGTCTTGACCAGATCTTTTCACTTTTAAATATAAATTTAAAGATATCCTTGAATTCTTCCGAGTCAAATAGATTAAATGGTAGATTGTTTTTTATAATATATCTTAGTATAAGCTTATTCAATTGTTTGTTTTCCTCGGGTTGTAGTTTTCTGATACCCGATAAATGTTTGGGCATTATTTCTTTAGCTTGGAAAATTAATTCAGGATGGCATATCTTTATATGATTTTTAAGGTTGGCTAAAAAATATTAAAAATTTTTAATAAAGGATTTATATAATTGCATCCCTACTATATAAGAAGCCTAACTCTAATGGACTTATATCTCATAACTGTCATATTAATAAATACTATGTATTTTTATCTCTATTCTTCTGATAGCCTAAGATGATCCACGAGATATATACATATATATTCAATTTTAATTTTTAAAACCGATATTATAGTAGACAGGATGCTTTCTTCCTCCTGGCTGAATAAAGCGTTTCGATAAGACGCCGCCAATATCTCGGGCTTGTTTAGCTGCTGTTTGATAGCCTTTTTAGCTAGAGAAGATAATATGGGGTCGTAGAGTAATCTATACCATCTAAATATCAACATTAAAATTTGGTATTTTGTAAAATTAAGAATATCATCTGCCTATTGTATTTTTTCAGAATTTTAAATAAAACGATGGCTGTTAATAAACTGGCGATAGAGCAATTATATAAAAACCTTTCTTCGATCTCTTTAAGGGAAAAGTTGCAAGTGAATGTCACGCATTGTTTGACCCTCCTTAGATCGTTGGACTGGATGGTGTTAATGATTAGCTTGATGTCGTCCACAGGTTTCCATTTTCCGAATTGGTCGGTCATTATACCTGTAGTATTATTGCTATTAAAATATTTAGGCAAATTCGACGAAGTTCTACTAAAATTATTCGATTTTTTGACGACACTGTTATTAGTGCCTATTCTCGCGTTGGTATCGGCCATTTTATTTTTTTGGTTCTTCATCTTTCTCTTGAGCGAGTTAATGTTGCCAGAAGAAGATTTCGAGAATTTTGAAGATCCTTGCCTTTGGTGGAAAGAAGTTCTAGAAGCCTGCCGAGATTCCGACAATCGACTCGTTGATGCGGAGGACATGGGATTTACGAAATTAGATTTTTCGTACGAAATGTCACCATCTATCAACGACGAATTTGGATTGATAGAAGCTTTCTCATGGTATGCCACGGATGTAGTAGTCCCACTATTCTTCTCTTCATCCTTAGACTTTGCGCCTTTATTAGAATCTTGCCCTATATTCTATGATACAAGAGCGTTTATTTTATTTTTAAATGGGGTTGAGAAAGAAATCTAGTCTTATTAGGATTCGTTTTATAGTTAAGCCGCAAAAAAAAACTTTTAGCAATGAACAACGCATTGCTAAACCATGATCGCGGTCACGTGTAAACCTTAGAGTTTAAAACAACGCACAAAAAAAGTTGATCTACAAATTTTCTAAACAGACGATAACAAAAAATGTTGTTAATTTTCTTTTTTCCTCGTGGAATTAATTTTATACATGAATTTTTATGGGTTTGAATTAAATAATTTAAAAAATTTTTTTTTATGCTTTTATCAGATAAATGATCTCAGCATTGCTGTTACTGATAAAACAACCTTTCAATAAGCACTATTTTGTAAACAATGTTTTAAAATTGTTTAAGAGTTTTCCGAAACATGTATCTATAAGCCTAAACTAAAGTAAGGGGTAATGTTCTGAATATAAAAAAAAAGAATGGCCATAACCAGGAAATCAAATTTTTAGCCTTGTAACATTTTATAAGGCAATTTATATAATTTTTACTAATAATAATTAATTATAATCAGCACAATTTATATTTTTATTTTCCAATAATAAATTTAATAATCAATTTTTATCAATAAACCGATATACCATTTCTATGATTTACATTTTTTAATAATTATTAAATTTTAATATACACACACATATATATATTATTAATATATTACTACGATTGTCCATTTTTAAAAATGGCTAACTCAATGCTTTATTCAGAAAAATATTATGCCAGCTTAAAGATTTTGCTCACAGACGACACAAAGGTTTGGACATCTATTAACGAAATATCAAGGCTTAGGCAATATTTTCTGCTCAAACCGAGCGGTTTAACAACACTAGATTTATTTATGTATTAAAATGCAATAAAAGACACCCATTTTTAATTATTAGCCTATACCAGAGTTTTTAAAAGATACTTTTTAAATGGATCTAGATACAGATACATCGTCTAAAATAATATCTAGATACAGATATTTTAATCAAAAATCTATCTAGATACAGATACCACATTTATATCTAGATACAGGATCTAGATACAAGTATTTAGATCTTTTAACAACTCTAGCCAATACACACATTCAATTGTCACATTTAATCTTATAGCCCTTTTAACCTTTTTCTAGGATAATAGTTAATAATATTTTTTTAATGCGCATAATATTATATTTGTCCAATAAAAATATCCAAGTGTCGTTTCCTTCCTTGTTTTGAGAAAGTATTCGAAAAAAAAGAAGGGAATATATATAAACAGGAAAAAGGTAAATTATTATACCTGATCGATATTGGATGAATATGACGACGTAGACAAATGAACATCATTGGCGGATTGTAATGAATTTGTGTCATCTGTCAATAATTAAATAGTTTTAGTTTGCTATAAAAAAAATATATAAATTTCATAGATATACACATGTTTTGTTAACACATATTATCGTCTGCTTTTTTCGTGAAACGATAAATGTAAGAAAAAATTTCATACAAACACAAATGTAATAACCACCATCACTAGGTTACTTTTTTTTTATTCTTTTAATATTTTTTCTGTTTTTAGAATTAATATTCGTCCCAAAGTAAACACAAAATACAACAAATTTATATCTACTTCTACCTTCCTATGCTCAATCTTTAAAGAGGTAGTATAGTACCACCAGTCAAAAATAATAGTTGTAAAGGAAGGCACAAATTATTTGAAGAGATATATACCATTTCCTGTGGGCATTCTCACAAGAGAGGTGTTCCTCTAGAAACGAGGATTCTTATTAATGAAAAAGCTATGGATATAAGATACTACAAAAATTTCGATATTGCTGATTACCCAGAAGCCATTCCATCATTCGTATCCATAAAAACGACAAAAGATCGGCTTTAATAAAAATATCGGCCCGGTTACCTCAGTGAAGAATATTTTAACCCCTGAATATACTACAACTAAATAAGGCGATCTATTTTTGATCTATAATGATAATAATAAATTAATTATGTTCAGAACACCTGCTATGCTTGGATTAGCTAAGAAGGCTGATAATGAATATGGATGGAACATTTTATTCTGCTCCAAGTTTATGTTATCAGCTCTACATTATTCATATAATGCATCAGAATATGAAACCCATTGTATATGCTCTTTTACCAACCAAAAATAAAGAAACATATGTATAGGTATTCACAGTGCTCATAATATTTTGTGCGGAGAATAATATATGGTGTAATCCTTTATCCGAATTTAAATGGTATGAAATGGATTCAGGTCTAAATCACATTAATTAAATAGCAGAAACATACTCACTTTATGTTACCATCTAGAAAATTTAAAGAAAATAAATAACATATATATTAATTAATTAAATATATATGTGTAAGAAATATTTAAGGTCGTTGTTAATTTATTAAAATTTTTATGAGAATATAAACGTTTGGATGAGCATGCACCGTTTTTCTATTTAAGGCATAATGAAAACCCTCCAAATGGTTATGCAGGCCATCTACTTTATATCTAAATAAATATAATAAAAATTTTTGAATTTATTAATTATGTTTTAAATACCTTATCCATATGCCATGGGGAAATATGGCAATGGTTCAGCCATATTATATCCACTAAATTCAGCATGGGATTTTCAGATGCCATAGTATAGCAATTTCGCCTTTTCCCAAGATATATCTTTCTCCTTAAAGGGCAAAGTTGTCATGTGCCTCACAACTTTGTGAACATTGAAGTGGTTCAAGTACACGCTCACCAACACATGAGATTGACATTTGTGCCATAACGCTTAGGAATAATGGAAAAAATCCTAAACTAAATTATATTAAAATATAAATCATAAATTTAACCCTTTATAATCATGTTAGGAAATTCAAACTTGAGAGCTGATATAGCAGCTGCCTCAAAGTCTTGGCCAAATCTAGGATTAAAGGATATCTGGCATTCGGCACAAAAATTAATAATAGTTTGAAAAAACCTGAAATATATTTTCCTTGTTATCCAGAAGCAGCGCATAGACGAAATTTATGAAATACTGGCCCCCTATGCCTCAATCGATTTCTAAGATTGAGTTATCAGCAGAATATTCTATGGCAACTTGCAAAACGCTTTTTAATCCATGTAACAGGAACCATACATTTTTGGCACTGCCATATTGTGTTTAACCAACAGTTCGGGCAAATCTACATGGATAGAAAGTTTCACTTAGCTCCTAGCTTGTTTAATAAACTATATACCTTACATGCTATGTACAGAGGTGTAATGATACCTTTTGTCTATGCGCTGCTTCCGGATAAAACAAGGGAAACATATATCAAGCTTTCTCAAATTGTTATTAATTTTTGAGCTGAACGCCAAATATCTTTTAATCCTAGATTTGGCCAAACAGAATTTGATCAGCTGCTATATCAACTCTTAATTTTGTATTTCCTAATATGATTATAAAGGGTAAAAGTTATAATTTATATTGTAATATAATTTTGGTGTGTATTCCACTATTCCCAAGTGTGGTGTATATGTCAATCTCTTGGGTTGGTGAGCATGTACTTGAACCACTCCAATGTTCACAAATTTGTGAGGCGCATTGCAACTTTTCCCTTTTGTAAGGAGGAAGATACACTATTACATCTGAAAATCCCATACTCCTGGATTTTACAGAGTATAAGGATATGACATGGCTAAGCCATGATGCCATATTTAGACACGGCATGTGGATAAGATATTAAAAACATAATTAATAAATTCAAAAATTTTTCTCATATTTATTTAGATATAAAATTGATGTCCCCACACCAATAACCATTTGGAGGGGTTTAATCATGTCTTAAAGACATCCAAACATTTATATTCTCATAAAATTTTTAATAAATCATCAACATATTAACAACCTAAAAATTATCCAGATCAACAATGGATCTACAGAGGTGAAGAAATCAGAAATATGAACAAATTGATAAACACATTACTAATTTAACAGCAATATATGAAAGAACGTCTGAAATTTCAGAATTTTTAGATAAAATATCCTTTTTTTTAGTAAATTTTAAATATTAAAACTAACAATAGATTTCAGTATTTAAATTATATTACAGTTTTATCTTAATAATAAATTTATAAATGTTGATTTTTATTGAAATAAACAAGTAAAATATAATATCATCAAAAAATAAAAGATTTATTAGTAAATTTTTTTAAAAATGACTTTGAAAATATTTTCTATTTATCTGACAATATATCTGACATAATAGATATGATTTCATTATGAATTTGGGGTGATGTATATTGGGCATATTAATTACATAATTTTATTTAAAGGATCTTTTTGGATGGGGTATGAAAACATTGCTATAAATAGTCCATAAGAATGAATTCTATTTTTATTTTTTTGCAGCATTCCTAATTTTTGTAGCAGTGTCACAAAAGGGTGCTTCTATATGCTAAGAAATAGCATCAAATCAAATATTGATTTAAGATAATAAGATTAGTTAATTTGTTGGCTTACCAAAATTGTTGTTATCTCAGTATCCTTATTTGATTTTTATCATGCAAAGAAGGCCAAATTTTTGCCCCACCCCCTGGAGCTAGGGTCTTGAATATAAATAAGCATTTCCTACAATAACAAAAAGTAATTAAAAACAACTTTGAACAGAACATTAAAGGTTGAATATATTTTTTGAAAAACATTACAAATTATCTATATGCTATAATCTATAGACATTAAGATTTAAAATGTTATATTATATTAGGTCATTATTGGTTTGTCTAAAAATTAATAAAATGTCAAAAATATTTATAAAAGTTATAATATTATATTTAGATATAAATAGTAAATATCCTAAATAATACCATATTTAGGATTTCAAAATAATGAACTTAAAATTAAATTATATTAGGCAATACATAAATTCACTGGAAATTTTTTTATAATAAAACAATGATTTAGGCCTCATTTATAATAAATCATGAAATACAGCAATTTCATTCAAGTGATGTAGAATATACAAATACTATCGTTTGGCAACGTATTATGCATCACTTGTAAGAAGAAGTTATGATAAATGAAGTCAAAGTTTAGAACTACAAAATGTACACTAGAACAAAAAATTAATTTATAAACCTTTTTTACTGTAGGAATAAATGTCCAACATTTCATCCTGAAAGAATTTCTTCTTCTTAACAGGTCTTGAACTTCGCCGTAATGAGGTTTCCATTAATTTGTCCTAATTTTAATATATTGTTAGAAATAAATGAATGTCACTTATTGAAGGTCACGTGACATATTTCAAACAATGAATAATGACAGGAACTATATTATGTCGGTTCTTGTTTTTTTAAGAATTAGAAAAGCTTAAATTTTTATAATCATACCTATTGCAACTCGTTTCTTATTCGGTTTATTTTTGCATTTATCGTGCTGGGTTATGAAAAATTTAATTAGGTATCTTATCCAGAGCTTATTATTTTTTTCAAATATGGGAGATTTTATTATCAGTTAAAGTTGATTACTATTTCATTCAGACTTGGATTTGGAAGCACCAATTTTAAAATTTGTTTTAAATATTTCATATTCTGTAAGTGTCTATTGTCTAATCGGGTGCAGGGTAGTGATGTTAAAAAAAATTAAGATTTTAACCAAAATAGTATTTTTTATGTCTCAAACGGGCAAATAAAAGGTCAAACCTTCTTGCGAGCTAAATTTTCAGGCTTACATAATTTTGGGTAAAATTTTAATCAAGCAGTTTTTAGATCTTTTAACAATACTAAGATGATGTACTACTTAAAAATGGGGAGGGGGGGGGGGTGGCTAAAATAATATAATGTATAAAATCGATTTTGCTAAAGAGAAAAATGAAAAGCAAAAAGATAAAATGGTCTATACAACGCTAGTGCCACAAATAGTGTCGTCAAAAAATCGATTAATTTTAGTAAAACTTCGTCAAATCTGTCCAAATATTTTAATAGCAGTAGCACTACAGGTATTATGACCTACCTATTCGGAAATGGAAACCTGTAGAAGACATCAAGCTAGGCATCATCCAGCAGCATCTACATGAACGAGGGGGAGGGGGGGTGTAGGAACAATTTGAGATCAAATAGGACATAATTTTTCATGTAAAAATTAATACTTTTATTTAGACCTATTATAATCAATTCATCAACCAAATCTATATTTCGCAAATAATGATAGACATTATTTTTCAAATAAAACTTTCTGCTATTCTTACAAATGTAATTTAAAACGTTTAGACATTTCCAGCAAAATGCTATAATAATGAATTCATTGTAAATGATGGGGGTTTTAATTGAATTTATTATCGAAAAAATAACACTTTTATATTCACAAAATGTCTATAGTTGGTAGTAGAGATAAAATAATTTAAGTTATTCTTTTTAAATTTTCTGAAAGAGTATCAATATAATTAAAAAGGTGAAATTTAAAATAGGGAAACATCGGCGCCGAAGGCGGTGAAAAGTTTTTAAGGGGATAGACATAGGTTTTTGAAGGAGGTTTGCATCCAGTTAAAATCCTGTCATGTAGACGCTGCCATCTAGTCCAACGTTTTAAAGAGGGTCAATCCTTGGCATTCAATTGCAACTTTTCCCTTAAAGAGCGAAGAAAGGTTTTTATAAAATTGCTCTATTATCAGTTTATTAACAATCATCATTTTATTTAAATTTGAAAAATAAAATAGGCAAACGATAATTTTAATTTGATATATTTTAATGTTGATTTTTAGATGGTATAGATTACTCTATGACCCCATATTATCTCCTCTAGCTAAAAAGGCTATCAAACAGCAGCTAAACTAGCCCGAGATATTGGCGGCATCTTATTAAAATGCTTTATTCTGCCAGGAGAAAGAAAACATCCTGTCTACTATAATATCGGTTTTAAAATTAAAATTGAATATATGTATATATCATGTGGATCATCATAAGAAAAATTACATTTATTATTATTGATGGGAGATGAGTCCATTATAGTTATAGTAAGCCGGAAATACCGCGATATCGTTCATGGAGGCGTAATTTATAAAATACTACTTAATGCTAAATTATTATGGTATCGTTTAGCGGTGAATTGCATGTCGCTTTATCCACATTACGATATTTCACGTTTACTATAAACGAGGCCTTAGTTTTGGCCAAGACTTTTAATTTTTAGGAGTTTTACCTATATTTTTGATTCCTATTCATATCTAGGCGAATATTTAATCATCAATCTGGGTTAGTTAGACCCTTTCTGAATTCTGGTTCTCGCCGGGAAAAGTAATCTCCTTCTTGATAAATGTTGGAAAATTTATTTATATCCAAAAGAATATTGTCATTTTGATTTCATATTGTATTGCTTATTATGAATGCGTGTCATATAGTAGTAACTATGATTAAATAAAACTTTAATTTTTGAGAGTTGTTTACCACAATCCTTGCATAAAATATAATCTACCAAACATTTTATTTTCGCCAATTTCGCGTTATTGTATTCGTCTTAAACACAATCTACCAATAATTTCCATACAAGTTTTTATTATCACAAATATAACGTTGGTTGAATTGTGTTGTGTTAAATATTTTTTTAATTATAATATTTATCTTTAAAAAAATTGTCTGCGATTATCGAATAAAACAATAATCCACCAATAGCGTAAGTATGTAAAAGTTGATCATGGATGATCTGATTCAAATTTTATATTAATGCATAGTGTTTTATTTGTATAATTTCCACTTAGAAAAATAGTTTAAAGTATTTTGCGCGACAAGTTTATAGAGTTAATAATATTATTATAGAAAGAATTAATATTTTTAGGTAAGAAGAATATGGTAAATAAGATATACTTTTAATTAAATTACAAGATCATTGGCTTTCCATGAAGCAACACGTTTTATTTAAAAAAGTTAATAAATAGCAATGTCACATTTTGAAAGGTAAATTTTTCTTAAAAATATGATCCTTAAAAAAATATAACATAAGCATATAAGAGCTAAATTTTTTTTAAAAATATGATCCTTAAAAAAATATAACATAAGCATATAAGAGCTATATTTCGTCTACACCACAAAACCTAGTGGAAAATTTACACCAGACTGGCCTTAGCCAATTATTTTTAGAAAAATTCTGGGCCGGACTTACAAAATAGTCGATAATTAAATAATTAAAAAATTCTCCCTTTTTTCAATCAAAGGCTGATAATTTTTTTTGATTTAATATTTTCCTAGTGGAGATATCAGAACGGACATTTATTCGAAATTATGATATATTTTTTAAAATTTCATGATGGTTCTTAGTATAAATAAATATTATTAAAATAAAATTAATAAAGACCCAAACAAATCAATCAAATAATTTATAAACAAAGAGGACATTATTAACTTACCTGAACAAACGATTTATTCATAAAAATGAATTTAAAAGTGTACCATACATTGAAGCCTGTTGAGTGGCAATTAGGAGTGAAATATGAACGATCATTTGGAGAATATGCCTTTCAATGGCGTCTACTACAGCCAATGACATTCACTCTGGCTTTAATATATGTATATACTTAATAAATTAAGTTCTAGATTAGTTAATAATGTCATTTAGGGCTGAATAAAGAATAAACCATAGATGGGTGGTTTATAGTTCTATAAATGTCGAGTTAATATTGTATGGCTCTTAAAAAATAAATGTATGAAAAGATATTATAATAGCTATTATATGTAAATCAAATATAAGTTTACAAAAATGTACGATTTTAATTTTTGCTTTGTCTACTTTATATTACATATATTTTTTTTTAATATAATGCTTCCTTTGTTCACGCGATTTTGTATTAGTTGTAAACTTTAGGGATTAGCAGATATCGTAGTTTTATTGTGTTGTAGTGAATTACAATTCAAAATAATAATAATATGTTGTATTGAAACCCAATTTAAAATAAATATAATCTGTTGTAGGGAATTACTTGAAATAATAATATTAATCTTTTTAAAACAGTAATTTTAATTTTCGTGTCAATCCAACAGTCAAAAATATAAATGTATTCAAAAGGTAAATTTTCGCCTCAGAACAGTAAAAATACAAAGATTTAAATTATAATTTATCGCAACATGAACGTAATCCCCCTCTACATATAAAATTTTATCTAGTAAATATTTTTTTAAGTTTAATTATATATTTAATTATATTATATTTGTAAAGTTTTAATAGAATTGTAAGAAAGTTAAATTGTTCTTTCTAGCAAAATAATCTCTTTATATATAACCAAAAAAAAAATTTGAAACTGAATGATAAATCCTAATAATTCGCATTAAATAAATATACAAATTGCTTTAATATAATAAATTACCATGAACTAGAGGATATAAATTGTAATAACCAAACCAAATAGCATGCGAATGTATATTCAATGATAACAACGCTTGGAATCAGAAATAAATAACCCCTATAATTTATGAAAGGATAAGGTGAGAAGTACAAAAATACTAGGAAGTTTAAAGGCAGTGCCCATTAAGACTAAGATAATGGTAAACAGACTTATATAGTCATACAATGAGAAGGCCTGAACTACATAGGAAATAAGGTTGAAAGTTTGGAAGTGATAAGTAAACGTAAAAGAGGGCCAAAGCTTCAATGGGGCCATAAAGTTAGAGCCAATATTAAGAAGTATAAATTAGATAAAAGAGATAGTATAAACAATATAAGGTGGAGAGAGATATTGAAGGAGCTTACCACTAGAAAAGGTGAAAGCTAAAAAGAAAAAAAAATAATTTATCCATATTTTAAATAACGTGAAATGATTGGCATAGCATGGTTACCCTAATATATACGCTTACAAGGGTCATTCAAAAAAAGTTTTTGATAAATCGATGTTTATCAATAGGTCAGTTTTAGACGCTACTGCACATCCGCTAAACCCATAGATATTGATTTAACGCTTGGGACCTTGACGTAAGGTAAAAAAATAAATAAATATAGATCCTAAAAAAATATATTAATAAATGCAAGTTTTATTATTTAGGCAAATTAATCGTTATATATATACCTTTCGCAGATATAGATAGGAATGATGATTATATTTTTGAATAAAAGAAGAATGCCTAAGAATTGGGGCATGAATTTCTCAGTTAGGAAGGGTAGAGAATAGTTGTTTAGCATGCAATCTTAAATTTTTAGTTTTTTTTTTAAAACCAGGAATATATTATAATACTAAATAGGATGTTTAGTGTTAACCTTACTCTTTTATAACTTTGGGACAAAAACGTAAGGCTTCCCGTTTGCAAGGCCATTTC